AAGAGGAGAGAGAAAGAGCAAGAGAGAGAAAATCCGTGCGAAATTCGTGAAACCATGAGCAAAAAACAGAAAATTCAGGACGATTCTAAGGTATGCATGTTTCTCTCTTCCTCCAATTTATATATTTTCGGTTTGCTATTGTTTTTGGTTTATTTTCACTGTGGTTGTTTGTTGATTGTAAATTGTTTATTGAATTTTCGATTTTCTGGCAGAATAAAAAGTATAAGTGCTGCTGTGATTTACATGTACTTAAAATTGGTAATTTTATCATAATTCAGATGCAAAATTCTGATGAATAGCATTTTTATTGATTTTTTTGTTGTTTATTTTTTTCTGGGTAAGCACAATTTATGTGTTTAATTTGGTCTATTTGTTGTTTGTAGTTGTTGTAAACTTGTTGATTGTAAATTGTTCATTTTATCATTGATTTTTTTTTTAATTAATTTATTTAAAATTTCTAAAAAAGAGACTGATAAATTCATACTTGGATTGGTCACTGAAGTAATTTATAATGAATTTTAATCTGTTTTCAGAAGTAAAAATCAACTTCAATTAGTATAAATTATTTAAGATTAGCACAAATGAGGTGAATAGATGGAATAAAGTCTTGGTTTTACTCTATTATAGATTGATCATCTATTTGATTTATACCCTGTGTTTTACCAACTACTCGTATTATAAGTATATGGTATTTTTTTTCGAGTCTCAAGTAGACAAAGATATACTAAAATACTCCTTTCGTCCCCAAAATGATGTTCTTGTTTTGACTTTTTCATGATCAAACTTTTCGGTTTTTGTTGTAAATAATTGGCTATGATATTTAAAGTCTATAGCAATTCAGTTTGTCAGGAATTGGTTGAAGAAGAAGGTAGAATTATTAGTTTTGGGTGTGATCTTGAGACCTAGAAAATATGTAGGAGTGTAGAACCTTTTGTTTTCACTTGAGCTTTACCATGTTACGTTGATATTATTTCGTGCCCAATTCAGATACTCGAATTGACACTCGAACATTGGCATGCTTGGATATTTCATTTTTATGCTTTATTTTTTCATCAAAAAGCCATGTTTCACACACGAGTTCGATTTACATAGGCTATATGAAATAATTAATGGATCAGCTATTGATTACGTTGGTAAATAATCGAAGAAATCAAAGATCTCTATTTACACGTGTTGTATCAGTTATTAATTACATTGCTAAATAATCGAAGATTTCAATTCAGAAGATTGGGTTAGCTATTGATTACGTTACTAAATAATTGGAGATCGTTAACTACACGCAATGACGTAATTAGGTTATAGCTACTGCTGTGCCGTTAGACTCTCATGGGTGGTGGGCATAAATATCAGAGAATTGTGTGATAGGCTATACTTTACGTGATTTATGTACATAATTTCCTTTTGGAGGACTTAGCGTATATAATGAATGCGATTTAATGCTGTAATAGATTTTGCTGTAGGTATATCTTTGCTTAGTTGATCTTGGTGACATATTGTGATGTGTGTTCATTACTTGCCATCTGTTGTCTGTTGGTTATTCGGACATCAAAATTGCTTACTTTATGCTTAGACCTAAACGTCATATCTAGTGCAAGTATGGACTTTGCTAGCTTCAAATTGCTCTATCTACCCTTTTTTGGTGCACTGAAGTCTTACCTGGATGTTCTTGTCCGTCTCTGCTCATATGAAGTGTTGATTTTGCATTGATCTAGTCACCTAGATTACAGAATTTCTTTAGATAAACTTTGCTAAAAACAATGCCATTTCCTTGCCCACTATCATGCTTCATGTGAACCTACTATATTTCAGCCTCTTTTTTTAAATAAAAAATTAAACATTTGAACTGTGTTTATATAGGACGGTTGCATGTTAAGGTTCTAAGGTCTGCTAGGTTTTATTCAAAAGGTACATCTACATGAATTTTTTAGCTTACGTTGGCTTTGGATCAGCTATTAATTACGTTGTTAAATAATTTAAGATCTCAATTCATAAAGCATTTGTCAGCTATTGATCATTTTGCTAAATAGTTAAAGATCTCAATTTACTAGCATCTAGTTAATAGCTACTGCCATACTGTTAGACTCTTGCATGGTGGTGGGAGTGATTATTGGATAATCGAGTGGAAGGCTATACTTTGCTATTTACATTAGTTGTTTTTGTGAGGCTTTACTTACATTATGAATTGCAGTTTAAGGCTGTAACTAGATATTTATGTCTTTGCTTAGTTGAACATGGTGACAAATCATGCTCAGTGTCCATTGTTTTTCATGCTTTGTCTGTAGGTAATTTATATGTCAAGGTCATATTTAATGCGAGTTACTTTGTTTGCTTCAAATTGGCCTATCTACCCTTTTTTGGTGCACTGAATATCTTTACCTAGAAATCCTTATCTGTGTGTTGATATGAAGTGTTGATTTTGCATTGACCTAGATTACAAAATTCCTTTGGATGCACTGTGCCTGAGTAGTATTGCCATTTCGCTCATTCTTTTGATGACTTTTTACCTGCACTATCATGCTTCATATGAACAACTGTACTCCAGCCTTTTTTTTTTTTTAATACAGGGAGTTTACAGGTTAAAGTTCTAATGTCTGCTAGATTTTTATCAAGATATCCACTATTTTTATCAAGATATCCAGCTACATGAATATTTTCTGCTTCCCCCCCCCCCCTCCTTCCTTCCACAATGTGCAGCTGTACTTAGTATAATGTATAGAATACATTGTCTTTATTTTCCGTAAAGAAGTTTGAGTGAAAAAATGCTTGCACATATCATGTTTAGAGGTTTTGTTATTATTATTATATTGCTCATCTCATAATGATGACTCCTATATGCATAAATCTTAATAATGCAGAATAATGATTCAAAAAATAATTGGAAATTTTGTAATTGTTATTCTGTTGCTCTGCTCGGTTCAACTTACTATTCTTTGTGGGTAGTGATATGAATAGAAAACATAGATTGTTTGATTAATGGATTGAGTTGTATATGGTCAAACGAAATGTTGGGATGTTTTCAATGAACAAGATGCTTAAGGACAAAGTTTGTTCTTTTAGATAGCAACAAGCTGTGATTGCCTTGGCTTTGGCTATGCTTTTCTGAAACAGAAATGATGAATTGATTTGTTTCAATCTAATTGTTCATCCATTTTGAACTATAGCCAAGGCGTGGTGCCATAGACCTGTATGCTGCACAGTGTGGTAAGTGCCAAAAATGGAGATCAATTGCTACAAAGGAGGAGTACGAGGAACTGCGATGTAAGTTTATGGATGACCCATACACCTGTGACAGACAGCCAAATGTGACTTGTGATGACCCAGCAGACCTTGAATGTGATGCAACCAGAACTTGGGTTATTGACAAACCTAATCTTCCAAAGACTCCAGCAGGATTCAAGAGGGAACTCATCCTCAGATCAGATTATTCTAAGCTGGACGCACATTACTTAACACCAACTGGGAAGAAAGTGAGGTGTCACGGAGAAGTAGTGCAATTCTTGGAGAAGCATCCAGAATACCGACACTTGAAGCTGGACGACTTCAACTTTACTGTTCCAAAGATACTGGAGGATACTATTCCCCCTGAGGCGAGGAGGAAGCGTGCAGAAAAATCTGCGAGCAAAAAGGATAATGATTTTGATGGTAAGAGGAAGAATTGTAACAATTAGTAGGCTAAGTTGTTGACATTGTTGTTGCTCTTCCTGCTTCAACTTTTTATCCATATCTTAGAGAACAATGAAACCTCAGAAATGGTAGGTATCTAGGTTAGTAGAACATGCTTTTGGAAATGTCTGTAATGTGCCATTTGTATAATTTGGCCTTAGATGAATCTGTTAAGCTGAATTTTGGAGTTACTGTGGATGCTTATTATATGTAGCATCAGATTTCTTCCCATATTTGCATTCTGGAACTGCTTGATTCTCACCGTGATGGATTATGATTTCCTTTTTTGCCTGCTTGATGTGTATGTTTATCATGTTCAACAATTGGAGGCACTTTGGGGGGCATGCTTGAATTTATGTATGATGACACAAGTAAAAATTTGATAAAATAGGTCTTTACTTGAGTCTCATCATACATTTATGGGAAGATTATAGACATATATTTTTGGTATGTAGATTTATATCCCTCATTATTTTTGTCATTGCCAAAATTTAATATTTAGTGTATTGTAAAATTTGTATTTGTGACAGAACATAATTTTTATTTTATTATTATTACTAGGGTAAATATAAGTTGATTTACTAGATCAACTTGTATTGTCAATCTACAAGGTAAATACGACTTTTTCATTATTTACTATTGGGCATATAGGTAAAAGTGCGATGTTGATTAGACCCTCTCCAATTAGGGATGGCAACGGGTCGGACTCGGAGCGGATTATGCTAAATCCGACTTCGACATACGATTTTGAGACTTCGACTTCAATATCTGACCTTCGACTCCGACTCTGATTTGACCCAACTCCGAGTTTTTTTTCGTTATTCAATATACTTTGAGAAATTGGGCTATTTGGGCCTTTACAACCCACACCCAATGCCACCATGACCCACACAAAAATCCACTATCTATAGGAGTCGGAGTCGAATAATCCGTCAGAGTCAGACATTTGTCAGAGTCGGATTTTTTTTATCGGATTTTTTGTAGGATTCGATTCCGACCCTCCTTCGACTCGGAGTCAGATTATTTTAACAGAGTCGAACTCGGATTACTTATTTCTCGGACTCGAAACGGATTTTTTTTACCTCGGATTGGGGCGGAGTAGGGTCAGATCCGGAGTAGGGCCGGATCCGGACTGGATTGACATCCCTAAGCGGTGGAGGTCGGGGAAGCATTAATGGAGAAAAAAGGAGGAAGCTTTTCAATGGTGGGTGTTAGATTGTTAGTAGAGTGCTTGCAACAACTACAGAGACAATAGAATTTCTTGTTCTCTACCTACTTGAGTCCAAAGGGTAAAAAGGTCATTTCAAGCAAAAGTTGTCAATTTGTAAAAAAAAATCTGTAGAGCGTTGGGGCCCACTGATTTGAGGAAAAAATTTGAATTCTAAATTGTAAAAAGTGGTGTGCCTTTTTTTAGAGGAGAGAGAAAGCAGTTTTAGTATTTCACTCAAAAGTGTGAGAAATTGAAAGAGAGAAATTGAAGGAGGGCGAAGATACGCCAGACCAACAAATTCTTAAGAATTGAAGCAGACGAAACTTTGGACGCTCATCCGCAGTTGGACGTGCAGAATTATTTTTTTTTTGAACGATTTGGAACGATTTGAGGTAAGTTCTTTATATTTTTTTCAACAATTGTGTATAGTTAGGGTTTCATTTGAATGGGTGTTTGTTGAAATTGTTATGGTTATTTGAATTGATTTGTTTGTTGTTTGTTGATGTTGACGTTTGAATTAGGGAATTTTTTTGTATAACTGAAAATTTTGGGTTTCCTATTTGTGAAGTGGTGAAATATGGTTTTTTTTTTTTTTTTTTTTTTTTTTTTTTTTTTTTGTTCGAAATGGAGTCATGAGTTCGATTGTCCTAATTACAATTAGGAATATGTGGTGAATTTTGGCTTTGTTTGATTTGTACATGATGTTTGTTTTGTTTTTTTGACAAGTTGAGCACGGTATAGGATTGATGATATTCATTTCTGCGGGTAATGGTTATGTGAAGTTATTCTTCGTACAATGTGAAATTTAGATCATGTTAAATTTCAGCTTTTAAGTAGTAGTTTGTAATATATGGTACTTTAATATGTGTTGTTGGTATTGTTTTAATACCATCAGGTGTGTGGTTGGTATTTTCACTAGACAAGTTATTCAAGTGTTTTGATGCCCTTTTGTTGTTGAAAAAGTTGTATATGTGATTAAAATAGGTCTTAAAAAAAGTAATTAATCTTTAAGTCCTACAATTATATATGTATCAACATCAGAAATTTCTTTTTTCTAGTGTCTAATGATCAAGACATAAATTTTTCACCAAAAATCGAGATCAATACTTGTATATGTTTTACCTGGTACCATAATTTTTTATTGAAGTAGACATTAAGGTGACATAAGTTCATTATCTAAGAGATTTACCACTTCTGGACACCTGTTTCATTGACGACATAGGAACTGCCTACTTCTTTGGTCTGCCTCTTTTCCTTCTATGAATGTGAGAATCATCTGCCGTCGGGGAACATTCTTCAAAATTTAGAACTATTGCCTTACTACCCAAAAATTGACTTATTTTTTCTGATGTACCATTTTCACTTGGCTCCTTTCCTGCCAAATTTCGTGCATAGTCAATAGTGATGTAGTATCTTTCTAATATCTATACAGTATAATAATACATCACGATGCTTACCAGATATTGTTTTTGTTGGGGTTTGGTAAGTCCAACTTACCGCGGAAACGACCCCGACCCAAAGAACCACTCGCAATTAATAAAACCATAAAGCATAACAAATAAACATAAAAGGATAAAATCGGAATTTACCTTTGACGCGTGCTTCGCCCTCAAAGTCGGGCTCTTATTTGAAAGCTTTAGCTCCGAAAATACCGAGCCTCCAACGGTATCCACCCACAAAAGACGAACACCGACTTTTAGGTCCGCTACCTTGGAATTAGCAAGGTCCGACCAAAACCCAAGTGTTAATGGAGTTTAAGAGTTTTTGCCAAAATGCAATGCTCTTTCTAACTCCCACTCAAGCACTTTTCTCCAAACCCAAGATGGGTATTTATAGAGAAAAGTGGGAGTGAGAATTTCAATCCCATCAATGTGGGATCATGAAATTGCACAATTTAATTTAAAGCTAAAATAAATTAAATAGGTAAGCAAGTAATAAATCAACAAGTGTCCTTGTTGTATGTAAAGAGAAGTGAGGACCACTTGGAGAGGAGGGGACCATACATGCTCCCCACTCTTTCCTCTCCTTATGCCACTTGTCCCTCATACCAACACACTCCCTCATATGCATCCCCAATGACACGGCCCTAGCTACTTGGCCCAGCCTAGCCCCGCACACGCGGGCTGCTAGCTGCAGCCTTACTTCTTGGCCGAGCACGCCCACGCACATATGTGCGGGCTGCTACTGCCGATAGGCGCTGCTAGCAAGCCACGCACATGTGCGGGCTGCTAGCAGTAGCGCGCGCCAGCAAGCCACGCAATGCTTGCGGGCTGTTGGCCGTAGGTTGCTAGCAAGCCTCGAACATGGTGCGGGCTGCTAGCTTGCCTAATCCCCTAGCACTTGAGATTCCGATGCTAGGGGTATTTTAGTCATTGTTGATTTATTACTAATTTTTCCGTCTCGTCTTTTACTATTTTTTACTCGACTTCCGACGCTCGGTTTCGATGCTCTAAGCTTGAATTTCCGATTTCTAAATATTTAACACTCGGGTGATGAATTCATTTCTTCCGAATTAATTCGTCGAGTCGGTTCGTATATTTTCTTGGGAATGACTCGAAGGGTTCAGTCAAGATTAAGCTGTGATATTAATTATACATTAATATTATTGATCGGAAGCGGCCTCCACCCAGGCATTCCGATCACTTAACCTTACTGAATATATTAGCTTTCTAATCATTCTGAACCCACTAACGGAATAGTACACTTGTTCGAAGGACACCATTCCTTTCAGTTTTAGATTTGTGGTGATTATTCAGGGGTGCTCTAGTCTCTCTTTGAATTTGTACCTGGTTTTTGGGCAGCGTCATTTCCACTAGGATTCTCGTCTGCTAAAAATATACAAAAAAAGGATAAAATTCATAACTTCTTATCTATGATACACACACAAGTAAGTTTGATATTCCCCTAGTTAAAAAATTATGGGCCCAAAGATCATAAGCAATTAAGCATAGTTCTGATAATATAATACTTCTGATAAAAAAAATTAATTGCGACATAATATGGATTTACTGTATTAAGCTTAAATCTTGTAGAGAATCATGTATAAAGCTGTGTTTTACTGCATTATCTATTAATGTGAATAATTATGTTTTAATGGAGTCGCATTGGGCTTTCAATTCTTGCATTTAATGAAGTGAATTTTTCCCATTTGTTAGTCATGGTGTCGGTGAAGTATGCTGTCTCCTCAATAAGCTACAGACGTAATTGGGGGGGGGGGTGAGTGTTTTGAAAAGAAGTTGTGTGTAGTCTGTTAGTTTGGATTGACTCCTCAAATAGCTCAATTAGGTGGTACTTGTAATTATTGTGGTAATGAATTTAAACTGTAAACAATTACAGGGTAGCTTGAGGAAAATCATGATAAAGGTTCCTGTGGCTTCTTCTAGCAAACAGACGGATAAGAGGACACTCAAAGCTGTAGTTGAGGATGAGGTAGAAGAAGAAGGTGATTATGTATATGAGGTGAGTGGCACAAATTCTGATGATGATGATTATGTGCTAGAAGAAGAGGGCGAAGATGTAGTAGATGAGTTAGAAGGTGGTAAATACGAGGATGAGGTGGAGTACGTAGTTACTCGTAGCGGGCGTAAGCAGAAAGTTATTCCAACAATCTACTGTGCCCTCTGTTGTGCCCAGTACTCGAAGCAGACCGGTTCAGCAGCAACAGCAGAGGATCTTTAGAACGGTGAAGCGTGCGACAGCAGTAGTTCAAAGGCAATTTGTAGAGAGGCCGACAGCAGTAGAGAGGCAATATTTAGAGAGGCTAGCAGCAGTAGAGACTCGGCAATTTGTAGTGGACAGGCCGTTTGTAGTTGAACAAGATCAGGTGAAGTAAAGTATTTAGTGTTTTTTTAAAAGGTTTTAGTTAGGTTAAGTATTTAACTATGCCTTGTTGTTTTATGGGTTGTAGGTTGATCTGGAACCGGGCCCATCGGTCGGTGATAAGGTGAAGATGAATGGGGTTGTGGTTAGTACTCAGCTAAGGAAGTGCGGGAAGGTAAACTCAGCTTAACATTATGAGTTAACACTGTAATAGTATGTTTATGTGTTGTGTTGATGATGACTTCTTTTCTTTAAATTTGTCAACAGTCCGCAAATTACAATTGACGTGTTTCATCTTTTTCTGATCTAATTACTGTGTTGGAGACTGAGAACAAGAAAATTAAGCTACTGCAGAGATGTGGTTTTGGTGGGTTGCTGAAGTTGAAAGTGAAAAGAATTGATCGTAGGTTTTGTTTCTGGCTGATGACTAGGGTAGATCATGAGAGGAGGTTATTTGTAAGAGGTGATGACAAGGAGTTGCCATTAAGACCTGAGCAATGGAGGTGCATATTTGATCTCCCCCGGGGTCCAAAACCTGTGCCGGATACAGTTGAGGGTCCAGTTATGCAGAGTAAAGTTGATGACATTGTTCGGAATTTTGGTGAGGTTACTCCTAGCGGCCGCGAAAATATACCTACTTGTTCGAAAGGCGTATGATTGTTTAGGGTTGATGCCAATTAGGACAGAGGAGGAGAATGACCATTTTATGAGGGCCTTTTTAATAGTTGTGTTGGGATGTATCTTGTGTCCTACAACAAATGGTCAGAGCATGGTACTAGCCTGTTTCCAGCTGTTACTGTAGATGATGCTGCCAGTGAGTATGATTGGTGTGCCTTTGTGCATGGTTGGTTGATGGGTGATGTGCGTTACTTTCACAAAAAGTTTAACGCTAAAGGGTTTGTTGCTGGTGGTGGGTGGGTGCGACCTATTTCAGATGGTGAGTTTCTCTAAACTTCGATTGTGTTATTACATGTATTGTGTTGTGGAAATGGATTGATATATGCTATTACTGTTTGTGTATAAAGGGACTTATATGATGTTGGTTTTGTAGATTTTTTTACCTCGATCATCTTGCGTTGCCCCCTTTGAGTTGGGGGAGATTGCCCTGAAATGATGTGTGGACCGAGAAGAAAATTAGTGCATCTATTCATGCGAACTTGTTGCCATCTTTAGATTATGGGAAATTGAAAGTAAGTGACCAATCCTCTGTATTGTATTTAATTTTGACATATTGTTGATTCATTTGTTTTTTTTATATTTGTCAGCTGCTTGATGTAGCTTATGGAGAAAGCCATCCATGGGAGCCTAGGGACTCAGCGGATTCATTAGAAGTGAGGGTTGAAAATGAGGTATTTTTTAGAATTTAGCGTATTTTGTTATTAATTGTGCATAATTAATGTATTAATGTATTAACATTTAGGTGATGAATATACCAAGATATATGGGTATTAAATTTTTAAAGAAAGAAATTGTTAATATTAGGACAAGATCTTGTTGACTTTTCCAGTTCAGGCAGCATAGTAGGGTTGTTCTAATAGAAGTAAATTCTATTTCTTTGCTCTTGACATCTTATTAGGTTGTTATTGTTCGTTCTGTTCTTGCTTGGAATGAAAATTTTACAACTTATTTGATTCATGGACAACTTAAGTAATTTAGTAGAATGTTATTGAATAAAAATATATATACTAATTAATGTGGTGAGTTGAAAATATTGACAATATGCTGCAATGAAGTAGGTGTATCTCTGTGTGTAGTTGTTGAGCCTACTGAAAGTTTTTTTTTTTTTTTTTTTTTTTTTTTTTTTTTTTTTTTTTTTTTTTTTTTTTGTTTTTGGCTACATGGACACACATTAGACTTTGGAAAAATATTGTTTTTTGTGGGTGTTTGAAAATCAATTTTGTTTTAAATGTTCGGTTACTCTTTCCTCTCCTATAATTATTTTGAAGTAGTAGATCAGAGTGTAGATCAAAGTTCTTAGAATCTAATTTGCTTTTATGTCAATGCTTTATTCACCTTTTTAAGTGAAAAACTTGTAGCTCCATAAACACTGAATTTTGTTTTTTTTTTTTTCTTATAGATTATTTCTCTTTACAAATCGACTGAAGTCTGACTCAAGTCTCATACTGACATTGACTCATTGTACAAGTATCTCGTGAAAGACTTGCTAACCTATTTCATTTGACTTAGTTTGTCATTTTTGTAAGAAAATTCTTACAACGCATCTTTATTTTGTTAAGTTTTTGATGCTATTATGTTTCTGATTACACTACTGTTTGGCTGTAGGTGCTGAAAATGTTAAAGCCCTACTTTGACAAATTGACCATGCTGAATGGACCTAATAGGGGGTTTGTGAAGCATGCTCCTAAAGAGAGGTCACCAATTGAGAGGTCTCCAGTTATCAATGATGTGGCGAGTTCGAGCTCTGAGTTTATAGAGGAGTGCGTTCTGACGTCTGGTGATGTAAACAAGGGTCAGCTTGAAGAGACGTATAGAAAGCTGCAGGAAGTGGTTGGTATGACTTCAAATGACCCGATAGGACATGTGGTTCAACAAGTAACCTCTGCGGTGAATGAAAATTTTGGCATAATAGCATATGAGGGGCAATAGAAGGAAGTGGTTGGTGTGGATCATTTACTAATCAGTGATGCATATCCCTATGCTGCAGTGACGAATGGGCAGCAGCCTGCAGCTGAGGGGCAGCAGCCTGAGAAAAATGAGGATAAGGTGAACGTTCTTGTAGTAGAGAAGGATGTACCTGGGCTCGATGAAGGGAACAATGTTGAGAAGGAAGTGAATCATAGCTTGGATGGCAGTGTTGGAGGAGAAGGGGGAGATGGTAGTGGTGGAGGAGAAGGGGAGTGTAACCGGGACCGAAGTGTTGGGAAACGATCCTTAAAGCCGTCTTCGAAGATCATTTCTCCTGATTACATTGGTAATTGGAAGATTTGTAATTTGGGGAGTGTAGACACGGCCCTCATCACTTATTACAGACTATGGTCGTCGAAAAGTGGCACGTAAGTAGTAACTGAAATGGTGTATATAATTTTATGTTTTCCCTTATTTTTTATATCGATTTTAGTATATACCAATTGATTATGTTTTATTTTCTTCCAGTAGTGGTCCAATCATGTTGCAATGTGATGGAGAATTTGCTTGTCGCGATGCTTTCCATGATGTTGTTTACTGTAGAAGGAAAGTCGGTACCCAATATGTTAGTGTAGTGTCAAAGATATACATAAAAGAATAAGCTATTAAGTATGAAGGCCAAAGTAAACAAATCATGATGCATCCTGCGTAAGGGGTATGTGAAATATGAAATTGTCTCTTTGATTTCAGTTTATGCAAACATGAAGTGTTGATGTTTAATCGTTTTATGTTTAGATTAAGTTGACATGTGACATGGACACTCCCACAATCCTTGCAAAAAAGCACGGACAACCTTTGTGAGGTGTAGCTGCAAGTTAGCTAGCTGTGGTGAGAATGATAATTTGGTATGTTTTCAATTTTTCTGAGGTAAGTACTGATAATTAAATTGTTGGGTTTTTTCAACATTCCAACATTATACCGATCTTTGTGCCAGTGTTGAAGAAGAATCATAGGTGGTGTGCAGCATTTTGTTTCAAGGAAGGGAAGATCTGGCTCATTGACTCGCTCTTCGAAGATCCTGTTGCAGAACACAAAGAATATCTCTGTAAACTGGTATGAGGAAATTGTTTGGAATGGAAACTTGGTGATTGATTTATATTCTGAATTAATGTTGATATTATGTCCGGTTATTGTAGGTAACTGCAGTGGATGTCCTGGTGAAGGTCCACGATCAAAGCTGGCCCGAGGATTCCATTGGAGCATGGCCTATGGAGTCAGTAAATGTGGTCCAACAACCAATAATGTGTGTATTTTATACTTTTGGCTTTTTTTTTTTTTTTTTTTTTTTTTTTTTTTTTTTTTAAATTTTTTGGTGTTTTTGAAGTTTTAGGATTTAAATTCAAATTGAATGTTATTGATATATTGGTATTACCAGTGTTGTGGAGCGATGATGCTAGCGTGCATCAAGGACAATACTGACCATTTTAAGACAAAGTGGCAAATGGTTAGTCTTAGTCTCTTAGTCTCCCGTACCTTATATGCAATTATTTAGTTTGTTGTGTAATGTTTACGGAACCACCTTATGAACTATTGATTATGTTGAATTTTGTTTTAAAAATGCTGTAGAATGGAGGGGACATTAATCATGGTCGGATGCAGTTGCTTATTAAAGACCTCAAATCTGTTTGCAATGAGCGACGTAATGAACTAAATGCCCTTGTACAAGGCAGTTAGTTGGATATAGTTCGTGTTTTTTTTATGTTGTTGTGGAGGAACAAACTTTCCATATTTTGCAAGTAGATATGGATGGGGTCTGACTTATGGTATTGATATTGGTACGATGAACTTACAATTTTTTAGGGGTAGTACACTGTGTTTGGTTGGTTGTAATATGGTTGTAATTTGGCAAGCTCTATTAATCAGGTACTTGCATTTTTGTAACCCATAACTCGTACGCATGTATACCATCAAGACCATAGTTGGTACTACAATATACCATTAGAATATTACCATCCTGGTGCAGGATGGTATCATCTGGTGATAATGAGTTAGACCCTGTTCTTTTGAGCTTCTAGGCAGAGTAGGGATCAGCAGAGCACAACATATTAAATTTCAATAGAGTTGAGCAGATTTTAGGTTAGCAGAGCCAAGCAGAGCAGATTTCAACATTATTATTAATACTATTATTAATGTTATTATTATTAATGTTGTCGTTGTCGTTGTCGTCGTCGTCGTTGTCGTTGTTGTCGTTGTCGTTGTTGTTGTTGTTTTTGTTGTTGTTGTTGTTTTTGTTGTTGTCGTCGTTGTCGTTGTTGTTGTTGTTGTTATTGTTGTTGTTGTGGTATTATTATTATTATTATTATTATTATTATTATTATTAAAATTATTTTTAATATTTATAATTATTATTATTGAATATTAATTATTATTGTTGTTATTATTAATTATTATTTGAAAATTAAGCAAAGCAGAGTAGAGAAGACAGACCCGAGCCGAGCAGAGTAGAGCAGATTTCTTTTGAGCAGAACAGATTTGATTTGAGGGCTCTGCAGAGCAGAGCAGGGCTCAACAGAGCAGAGCAGCTCTAAAGAACGGGGCCTTACTTAACTATGGTACCATCCTGGTGTTAATCGATACTTCTTCTAGTACCATCCTAGTGAAAGATGGTACCATCCCTGGTTATAATTCATAATTTGTTAACAGCTTGAGTTTTTGGCCAAAAAGGGCATTAATGAATTGTATGAAACAATAGGAGTGACTTTTGAGTTTTTGGCCAATAAAAGGACAATACTCAATTGTTTGAATAAATATGGAGTAAATTAAATCTTCATTATGGAGAAAAAAAATTACAATAATGGTACCATCCTCATGGTGTGAATATAATCAATACTTCACCAGGTACCATCCTGGTGATAGATGATACCATCCTGATGATACTTAATACTTCACCTAGTACTTAATATTTGAAAAATAAATTTAATAATAAAATTATATCTTCATGTTTACATATGCAATGCTCATAATCTTGTAATGAGCTACGTTACAAATTTCCATATACAAAAGGACCGAAAATGGAGAAGAGTTATGTTGGTTTTTTGTTTTGGTTTCGATCCATATACATATTACAAAGTGGTACCTTTGTTGGTCTTATCCAAGGTTTTGTTGGTATTTTGTTTTGGTTACCATCCATACAATAGTACCAGCATGGATGTACCCGTTCGGCCATAATGACTTAGCCTTTTAGACGTTAGAATTGCATAATGCGACTTAATGTTGTATAAATAAAAGGTCAAGGAGGAGAGACCTTGTAAACTTCAACCTGTTAATTGTTAATTGTATTTTTAGCTTTCGATTTTTCAAATGGCAAATTCACCAAATATTTGTACTAAATTAAAATCAAATCAGTTATCCCTATCTGCACGAATTTATTACCATCCACCTTATGTTATGTATCTGAAGCCTTTACAAACTTGCGAGGCTAAGTTTAATATAAACAACACGTTTTATTACAAGAAGCACGATGATATTGAAGTTGGTGCTGCGATAGGAGAAGTTGAGTTAAGGGTATCTTTGTTCTTGTCTGCGGTGTACTGGGAGCCTTTTTCGGAAGGTTCATGCTCATACCACTAGGCCTTTCATCCCCACCCGAACCCTGACATGACCCCTCAGCCAGCACATGTAATTCATCAACCTTTAAGCTTATTAGCTGAATCAAGTTCATTAACACTTCTACAACTTCATCTGATGCTAAAGCGCGCAATACAACAGGTTCAAGGGCTAACATCAAATTATCATATCTTCAAACCTCTTTTTTTTCATGCGTCGTGATATGAAACTTTAACAAGAGTGTGTTTCCTACTAATATCCTTTCTCCACCTGTCCAAATTGTACATGGAGGGAACTTCATTCACTCCACTCATGTCTTAAACCTTAATAATATGCCTACAAATAACTCCATGACATTCAAAGTGTCGACAGTCACAGTTCGCCTCTTTTCTTTCTTTGTTATGCAAAATAGTATAGTCCTTCAACCAACCATTGAGGGGAGTCTCCTTCCGTTTTTTCTTGCAGTAAATCCATACACGAACTGGAAACAAAAACTCCTCCTAGTTATGTGACACTGACTTCCTTGACACAAGGGTCACATATGCAACATGGTTTCACTGGTTTTGTTCCATAAACTTTGCATCCGTATACAGCTTCTGAAATTTACGTTCCAATGCAAATTCCGATATTAGAGGCCAAACGAAACGTGCACATTTAGCATCCGCTTCCTTCTCATCATTAGCTCGGCTTTCCATTTCCTTACAGTATTTAGGAGCAAACTTACACAGCCGGGTGTGCTTGTTAAATAACCATAAAAAAAAAAACTGTTTATGCTCTCAACACGTTGAGTAGTCTGCATTCCTGCCCAAAATACACCTTTAACATATGCGGGGATCCACATCTCTCGCTCATTGTGTAGGCCTATCCAAACAAACAAAGAATTAGCCACAGCATGGGATAACAGCACACCAGCATTAACAGCAGCAAAAGCAGCAACAGGGGGGAAGGAAGATCAACCGAGGGACACATAGATAACCAAGAAATAAACCACAATCAATTTATACTGATCACCAATTACAGAACATAAATTCAATTTATCTTACATGCACATTTTTGCCACTTTTAACTTCATTCACTTATTTCAATTTCTACTTCATGCTCTCCCCGACTCCTTGTAACAATGGCTATTCCTTATAAAATTACTAAAATAATTAAGAATATGCTAGGATTAAATTTATCAATTTGTCTACACTTATTTCCTTAACTAATAAAATACAAGTTTATATCTCCCCAAATTAATATGAAAGTAGAATTAAGAAAGTATAATCAAGAACATGCTAGGCTTAAGAATGTGCTAAGATTAAGAATCTTCCCCTCTGATTTTAACTGTTCATTTCAGCAAATCGGCAACAGATAACATGAACAACTATAAATTTAATCCTTCACTGGATGATCCTTGTTTCCTTGCAAATTTTACTACTGATATATATTGCTTGTCTGCTATAGCTACATTGGAATAAAATGGAGTGGAAAAGTTTACTACGTAACATATAAACCACAGAGCAGAGACATGAACTTCAGCAGAAACCCGCATATCACAATGTTCAACACTTCTATGCCTCGAGCCTTATTTTGTGCACTTTCCATGTGAGCAAACTGTAAACCAGAAGAGCTAATCCCCCCCCCCCCCCCCCTTTTTAGATGCTTCAACAATCAAGACATTGTAAATAAATTTAATAGCTTCACATATATTACCTAGAAAAATTCCAAAACCTATCCTGCTGTAATTAGAGTAAGCAAGAAAACAATGCTTAGTTTTAAAATCTACTCATCTGCATCTGCAAGGATCTGCTCTATCACAAATCTTTTTTCTCATACAAGGGCTCAAAGGACATACACACAAATGTTTGTTTTTTAACAAAAATGACAGCCTTAGTTTTAATGAACTCAATTACTTAGCAACATTTAGCAGTAGTTAAGTAGCACTAATTCCATTTTTTTGGGATTAACCAGCCAAATACATGTTAAACTAGAATCAATTATGTTTTAAATTTTATGAACAACCCAACGTATTTACTTTGATTACTCAGTGTTAGAATCAGTTAGCAGGGCAAGCAGAAGGAAACAGAGGGGGGGGGGAGCCAGAAACTCATAAATTTTATCCTAGCATATTCTACCATATTCTTAATACACATAAAAATCATAGCAACAAACCGGATACTAACTCAACTAAGATGCTATTACATAACCCAAAGCTACTCACCTTCCAGCTACTCGTAGCATTCATACTGTTCTAGCTTGAACTTATTAACCACTTCCCACCAAGATTCAACAAACTGATCTGGTGTAGTTCTATTGTAGATCACATTCTGCAATGCATCTTTTACATCTTGGTAATCAGATAGAGCACCCAATTTCTGACCAAACTTCTTCACGATGTGCCACGTACACCACCGATGGCGTGTTCCCGGCATTGGGAATACGACTCTTAGTGCCTTCCTCATCTCAGCATCTTGATCTGTCATGATAGCCGCTAGGGGATTTCCCCTCATACAATAAAGCCATGTCTTGAATAGCCACTCAAACGTCTCGGCATTCTCATGTGATACCATATGCATAGCCTAATAGTATCTGACCATGGTGGTTGACCCCAACAAAGTTTGAGAAAAGAAGTTCGTATTGTTTTGTCAGGTAAGTGGAGTCAAAGCGCACATCTCCAAAATACTGATATGCCTCCCTGCTCCGAGCATCAACCCACATGATGTCTTTCAGTTGGCCCTTGTCATCAAGCCTATGCATGCGAAAAAAATTTGGTTATCGGTAGTCATTCTATCAAAATACTCCAACATAGCCGAGGCATCACCATTTTTTAACTTCAATCTCCTCTTCCTATTCATCAAATTATGAATATCTTTTTTTTGTAAAGCCCACATTCTCCACACCGTGTCTTTGACCTGCCATGTTGTTGAAAATCTGACCAACCGAGGCGCTAGATGCATGGTCAGTTTCAATCCTATACTCCAAATGCTTGGTAATTTTTTTATTCCTATACATTACAATGTGCCTTGACAGCTCAGGAGTCACACTGTGATTGTGCTCATTTACAGCTTCCCTAATCTGCCACACACCTTCACAGTTGCCCTGCCCATACAACATAACTGGATAATCACATTTTTTAATCTTCTTCTCTTTGGATGGCTCATCATAAACCACAACCCTCTTCCCATTAACCCTCTTCCTGTATGGTGTAATTCCGTAACACTTGCACTTCCAAACATAAGTGCTATATGCCGCTTTATTGAAAACATCATTCTTTCTCCCACCTATACACACAACCCCAAATCCCTCTTGCTCTCCATATCTATGATAGTAATTATTCATGTCATCCCATGTACTAAACTCCATTCCTACTTCTTGATGAGATACTGCTGCTGCCCCTATACATCTACCTGATCCCGAACTGTATAAGTGTTCATAGTCGTCGTTCAACGCAACGCTATCCCTGGGAATGCTACATTTAGCATGGTCCTTATTAAAATGGGGAATGCTACATTCATTAGGGTCCTTATTCAAGTCAAAACTCTCCCCGTTATCATTAATATTCAGATCATCATTCAAATCAAACTGCAAACTATCATCACTATCTAAACAGCTACTTGAACTGCAATTAACATATGTGCTCCCAGCCATAACCTGGTTTTGATTCCCAACATTATAATCCTACCCAAACCATCCAAATAAGAATCAAAACAAAGTCTTCTCAACAATACAAGAAAATTAACAACACCTCTTCCAACACATAATTCATACAAATACTTGTAATATATTCAAAGTATTACACAATCTTTAGTCATTTTCAAATTTCACCACAAAAACAGCATAAGTACATAACAATTTTAAACTTCGGAAAACAATAACACCACAAGTCCACAACTATCACTCTTAACATAATAAAACAAGTTCATATAATTCACTATTATCCACCTACTCTAAATCAATAATTCAGTTCAATTACACCTTGTCTTTTGAGTGTAACATTAGGAATAGAACCATATATAACTAAAACATGCACTTCCATCTCACAAGTTCAATTGTGCTTTCTCCCTGGTTTCGGTTGGTTAAATGAAAAATACTGTGAATTTTTAGTGATTCATGCAAAGCTATAATTAAGTTCAATTAACCACAATCACCCACTACCCAATAAATCAGTTCAATTAACCACATTCACCCACTACCAATTACACTACCAATTAACCACAATCAACCACTAACACAATTTACTAAAATAATCCCTCAACAGTTATGGTGCTTAGTTTAGGAAATTGAAAGTAACACTTACCTCAATCATCTCAAGTTCATTGTTTTCCACGTTATCATAATTCATTTCACTTACACCAAAGCTTCTTCATCAGAGATTAATTGATGAAAGCCAACTAAAATTGCGTCAATTAATTTATCGCAAAACTAGGGTTTCTCACAAAATCGGGATTTCAACTCTTGCAACTACAACTCCTCCCAGCTCTTCAATAATGGTTTGTTCGTTTTTGTTGCTTAGTCGGGTCTTCAAAATGAATTGGGGTTCCATTAATTTTTTTCCCCAAAATTTTAAAAGGGAAAATTTTTGGAATTTTAGAGCCCGCCATGTTTTGGGAGCAAAATTTCGGGTTGGAGTAGCTGGTACAAAGGAAAAAGAAAGAGGGGTCTCCTTCTACTGTACTTCTTTTAGTTATTTTGTTTGTAGTAAGATTTTTCAATTTTTTTTTGTAAAATGGTGGTTGAGTCCAACTTGGTCTCTAGTAGGTTGAGACCAAGAAATTCAGTAATGATGGCATACATGGTTTTAAATCATTTGAATAATTAGCGAGTGACGAAGTGCGAATCCGAGTTGGCAAAAACTTCTGCTCGTTTTATTTATAGAACACCACTAGATTGACAATTTTCATTGATCTATTATATCAGCTGGACTATCTAATAATTTTTGGAAATCGTTAGTGGTAATTTTTTTTAAAAAAAAAAAATATGATTGCTAGTGTTATTACTAAAAAAAAACTTTCCATACATATTTGTCGCAATTTGTTAACTTTTATACCAATTTGTTGCAAGTGATAACTTTTACACAAATGTGTCATTAAAAATGCTAACTTGTATACCAATGTGGTCGATTGATCCACCTTTAATTGCATACTTATATTCAAATCATATAACACTAAAAACTCATAATCGTAATACATTACAAATTGACTTTTTTTTTTTAAATAGGAAAAATTGCGGAAAATAATACAACCTTTAGGCGGTTCTTTTTTAATAATACAACCTTTTGATTAAGTCATAATAATATAACCTTTGGAGGGTATCAATTTTAAACAAGACAAAAACTTGTAACCTTTAAAACCGGTTACCCATGACACGTGTTATCATGTAATTGGTCTGAATATTAATTTTTAAAAAAAATTAATTATTTTTAATTTTTAATTTTTAACAAAAGTGTTTAAAATTAAATTAATTCCTAATTAAGACATTAATTGTACTTTATATTATTTTAGCAAATTTAAAAAAAAAAAAACCCCACTCATCCCCCTCCTCTCCCTGACCCAGCCAGCCACCATATCTCCCACCTTCGAGCCACCTCCTCTCCCCCTCCCCCACACGCAATGACTTTATTGGCGTACGGCCGGCGCCCAGCTCCACCACTGTACGTCGTACCACTCCTTTCCCTTTCCCTTTCCCCAACTTACTGCAAACAGCTCCGTCGCGGCCAACACCTTATCTTCAGCAGCACACGAAACAACAGCCACCAATTCGCATCTCTACAGCCAGCAATCACCGATTCTCATCTCTTCCCCGACACACAAGCCTCACCGCGACGCGAACGACACACTGATGCAAGGCTTGGTGGGGATGTTTTTTCGATCCAGGGGAAGTGGAAGGGGCGATTTTCGAGCAACGAAAGGGGAGGGAGGTGGTTATCGGGGTTTGGGATAGGGAATGGGTGATTTTTGTGGTGTTTTGGGGGGTTTTGTGGTGGCGGCTGCGTGGATTAGGATGGTTTTTGTGGTGGTTGGGAAGGAAAGGGGGTTAGGGTTTGGCCTGATGTTGCGATGGAGGAAAGGGGAAGGTCGAGGTTAAGGGGGAAGTTGGTCGGCCGAAGGTGAGGATGCTGGTCACTGGCCGTACCTTCGTCGTCGAGGCCTGAGGGTGCTGCGTGAGTTTGGGGGAGGGGAGGTGGCTGGGTGGTGGTGGTTGGGTGGTTGCTTGGTTTTTTTTTTTTTTTTTTTTTTTTTTTTTTTTTTTAAAAAAAAATTCTTTATAATAATAATAATTATTTTTTTTATTAATTAAATTGAAAAAACCAATAACACAATGACACGTGTCACAGTAACCTTCAAAAATAGGTTACCAACAGGTAATGTCTTGTTTAAAATTGACACCCCCCAAAGGTTATATTATTATAAAATAATCGAAAGGTTGTATTATTAAAAAAGAACGGACTAAAGGTTGTATTATTTTCCGCAATTTTTCCTTTTACAAAAAAAAAAAGATAATTATTATAGTTAAATTTATATAATAAAATTGGTAACAAAAGATCTAATGAATCTTTTCCTTGAGAAAAAAAAATATTTGTATCAATTGTTGCCCTAAGAAAAAAAATATTAGTTCACATTAATTTCCAAATAATCGTAATTTCCAAATTTATAAATGTAATTTTCCCAAATTGATAGTACCTAATTTTATAAATTTATGAATTCCCTGAACTTCAAAATTAATTTAACAAACACACTAGTAGAAAAATAGTATTAGGCACCCCCCCATATGGCACCGGTTCAGGCCAAACCGGTGCCAAAAATCGGCCCAAAATTGGGCGGGTTTTTAAACAAAGGGCAAAGGCACCGGGTCAACTCAAACCGGTGCCAAAAATAAAAAGGGCACCGGTTTGAACCGGTGCCAATTAAACCGGGGCTTTTTCAAAAAAAAAATGCGGCCTTTAATTTCTTCTCCTTCCTCTCTTTCTCTTTCATTCCTTTCTAACCCGACTTCACTGTTTCATTAGAGACGAAGAACAACCTCCCCCTTTTCCCTCCACCACAGCCGCCACCTTCACCGGCCACCAACATTGTTGAAAACCACCGCCCTTAATTCTCCCCTGCCCTTGTCTTTTCCCTGCCCTGCCCTTCTCTTTCTTTCACCGGCCTCCACCAGCATTGTTCGAAACAGCAGCGCACCACCTCCACCTCTGCGCTGTTCCCTCCACCAGCGCGCACCGCCTCCACCTCCGCGCTGCCTCCACTAGTGCGCACCACCGCTGCTACCTCCACCAGCGAGGGTCGTCCTCAATCTCTCATCCCCTTAGCTTCTTCCACCTCCAACTAATTTAGGGTAAGTTTTTATTTTTTTTTGTTAAAAATTGAACAATTATTTTGAAATATGTAATTCTATTATTTTCAATAGCATTTTGAACAATTATTGTTAAGAAAATTAAAGTCAAGAAATGTATATAATTTTACCCTAATTTTTTTAATTTTTGCATTGGTTGTTTATTTAGAAATTTTGAATACATATTATACATTAGAGTAATTTTGTATGTTTAGAGTAATTTTGAATACATATTATAGATTAGAGTAATTTTGCATTACCTTGTTCCTTAGTTGAAAATTTTGTATGTTTTAATGGGTTATTTTGAGGTTGATTTAATGAGTAATTATGAATATAATAGAGATTCGTAAAACTGTTACTTAATTAGTTGAGTTTTTGTATGTTTTATTGTGTAATTTTAGGTTGTTTTAATGGGTAATTGTGAATATATTAAAGAATTAGTGACCTTGCTACTAATTAGTTGTGAATAAATTAGAAAATTGTGAATAAATTAGAGAATTGTGATTACATTAGAGATTTGTGAATAATTTAGAGAATTGTGATTAAATTAGAGAATTGTGCATAAATTAGAGAAATAGTGATGTTGCCACTTAATTAGTTGTGAATAAATTAGAGAATTGTGAATACATTAGAGAATTGTGAATATATTAGAGAATTAGTGACGTTGCTAATTTTTGTTTTTTTAATATATAGATTCATATGTGAATTGAAGCACGAGTTTAATTAGCTTGAGGACTACATATTGAGCTCAAGTGGGTAGTTGCTATATTGGTATGACTTATAAACTTTACTTAGCTATATTTCTTTCTATTTATCCATTTAATAAAAGTTTATTCATGAAATTGCAACTTGTGTATTGTTTAATTGCAAATAAATACAACAATATATAGAATATTTGCATCATCATATGCCTAGATACCCGTTCAAGACTTTCTCATTAGGAGAAAGTCTTGAATAGTCCCCGGTTGGGACTGTTCTTGAATGTGTACTCTCACTTAGGTGGTGAATGTATGTTTTCTTTTCGATTTTAAGGAACATCTTGGCTTACCATTTCCTCACTATGTTCTCTAGGTACATATGTGAGTAATTAATTATCTACATCGTGTACTTGGAGAACTAGGGGGAAATGCTGCCGGATTTTCCTTAAAATTGGAAAGTTGACATACATTCACTAGTGAGAGTAGACATTCAAGGATGAGTTAGGTTGGAGTGATAAGGACCCTTTGGAAACATGCATTTTTTCACTATATGAATGGTATATTCACGTTTTGTACTTGAATTTGATTTACATAAATGTAGCACTTACACATTATAAATTATATGTTGCTATATATGTTTAGAGACAATTTACTAAATGGAGAAGGATCGTGGTTGGATGTATGGTAGACGCGATACATGGAATTTTGGAATGGGGTTCAAGAGTTTTGCGAGAGGGCTTTATCTTATCAACGCAAACTGGGTGGAAAAAGCCTTTATTGTCCTTGTGTTGATTGTAATAATGTGAATGTGGTCGATAGTGTTGAAATCATTAGAGATCATGTATTATGTCGTGGGTTTAGGCAGTTATACCATGTGTGGATTTGGCACGGAGAAAGTGGAGAGTACAGTGGGGATCTTGATCGGAATGATGTGCGTGTTAGAAGCAATGAGATTCATGTGGACGAGGAATACGAGAATGATGACTATATTGTTGAGAATGGTGAGGATGGAGCCGATGATGATCAAGCGGATGAGGTCGAGGATGAACAAGTGGATGAGATGTTGCATGGTGTTGAAGGTGATGTGTTTGAGTTATTATCGGAGGCTTCCAAAAAGCCTTTGTATCCCGGGTGCAAAAAATACTCCAAACTATCGGCCGTGCTAACACTTTTCAACATTAAGTCGAAGCATGGGTGGACGGACATCAGTTTTACTTCTTTGTTGACCTCATTAAGTGATATGTTGCCTGATGGGAATGAAATTCCTAAGTCTTGCTATTACGCAAAGAAGCTCATGTGTCCCTTTGGTTTGGATTATAAGAAGATACATGCATGTCCTAATGACTGTATTTTGTATCGAAATGAGTATGAAAAACTGCAGGAGTGTCCACGATGCAAGCGGTCGCGGTACAAGCGCATGAGTTGCAATCCTGGCACGGAGGGACCTCCTGCTAAGGTGTTGTGGTATCTTCCCATTATTCCAAGGTTTAAGCGTCTATTCTCAATACCAAAAGACGCTAAAAACTTGAGGTGGCATGCAGAGGGAAGAAAGAAAAACAGAATGCTGAAGCATCCATCCGACTCTCCACAGTGGAAGAACATTGATTTGAAGTTTGAGGAATGTGGTAATGAAGTCAGAAATTTAAGGCTTGGGTTGTGCACGGATGGGATGAATCCATTTGGCACTCTTAGTACCCAACACAGCACATGGCCGATACTTTTAGTGATTTATAATTTGCCTCCTTGGCTGTGCATGAAACGTAAGTATGTAATGCTTTCATTGCTAATAACTGGTCCTAAGCAACCTGGAAACGACATAGATGTTTATCTTG